TACGACGGACGATCAGTACTTTGATCAGGTAAAAAACAAACTAGCGAAAAAAAAAAAGACTACCCTACTCGATTTACGTACCTATCGTTTAACAATAATCTACGCTTTTAGTTATGTGTAGATAAACCCAACATGCTTAATCCCAACGTCTGGAGCCCTATAGGATTCACATACGACCCCCAATTGAAAAAATATGCTCTAGTCAGTGAAACGCATGAAAATACTTTTAAATTATGTCTGGCATGCACAGGGCAATATTCTCTTGGTATAAGCGCATTTTGCCACGTTTGTAAAGCATCAAATCCTCCCGATTGGACTTGCGGCAACAAGTCTGTAGACTCGTTTATAGCGAAATCATGGAACAACGTGCATTATGTGCGAGACAACTATCTGCAATGGATAGAACCTTCTCACGTGCAAGACTTGAGAGAAGCTTCTTCTTCGTTGGACTATGGATGCACGCATCTGGCAGAGTGGTCACGACCGTCATATTCGATAACAGTTATGCTCAAGAAAATTGTCGATGAACAAAATGCTCAATCTTTTGATTTCAACAAGGTGAGATACTCAAAAGCTACACATCGTTTCTGTTACGCATGAAAAGTTTTACAAACCTCGTTGTTACATTGTGTGTAGTTGATTGAAGAATACCCGACGATATTGACACCAGAAAACGATTGGATAATCGGTATTACCCGAACGCAATCTCCGGCAGATTATTATTTGGTATTTTATAGCGAAATCAACCAAATCCTGGACAGGTTCATGCGGATCTTGAACCATACGCGTGACTTGAAATTCATCGACTATAATGATTTTGACGAAGTCGAAGAGATTGGATCCGGCGGCTACGGAACTGTTTATCGTGCCAAGAGCAGGTTATTCAATGAACAAGTTGCCTTGAAAAAGTTTAACCAATCACAAAAGTTGTTTATTCGTGAGGTAAGCACTCGATTCCCTTTTTTGTTCTGAGCATCAAAGCAGTCCGCTCCCCCCTCTTTTCATCACGCCGACACGCACCACACACACACGTACGATACTAATCAACCGTTTCATTATGCAGTTTAAGAATTACATCAAAAGCTCATCTTACGAATTCCTTCCATTCCACGGAGTCACGCAACATCCTGAGACAAAAGAATATCTGGTCGTCATACAGTATGGCAACAACGGTGATGTCATGTCCTACTTGAACAAGAACGTCAACAAACTGACATGGAAGATGAAGCTGGATGGCTTGCTGGACATTGTAAACCATCTAGAAGCCATTCACAAAGGCGGACTAATACATGGCAATCTTCACGGTGGCAACATTGTCTTTAACGAGGACGATGCCAGTTCGAGTATGCCAAGTATATGTGACATCGGGCTCGGCCAGTCTGTGGATTCATCCAAATCCAACTCACCGTCGACAGTGCGAGGGGTTTTGCCGTACATTGCACCGGAAATTTTTCACACGCACGAATTTACCCAAAAATCAGACATTTATGCGTTCGGTATTCTCATGTACCTGATGGCGAGCGGCGAGCCACCGTTCAGCGACAGACAATTCGATGATGGTCTCGTACGTGATATCTTGGACGGACTGCGACCAAGCATGCCCGACTCTGCGCCCGAACCCTACGTGAACATCGCCGAAAAATGCTGTGATGCTGATCCCGATAAGCGACCCGATGCCGAACAGCTTCGCGAGTGCATTGGTAATCTGATTGACGTTGCAGACGAGATTGTAGCCAATGACGATATCTGGAATATCATCTATAAAAACGAAAATCTTGTGCCGTTGACACGTGCCGAGAAAGAGAGTAAATATACCAGTAAGCCACTGCCTACTGGAAATTGGTCAAATTCTCATTAAATTAGTTATTTATATAATTATTAAGTTTTACTTCATACTCTTATTAAAAATAATCACATTATTACTAATTTGTTATATATTATCAAGCTTGAAAAACATTTACACCTCTCACTATTACCTTCCCCCCTCCCCCCTACAATTAATGTGTAATTTTATTCACGTATTCTGCATGGTTATAAAGAGAGAGAGGTTTCGGAGTGTGAGATAGTGAGTATGTGAATGAAATACAGTTTCATGTTAATAGAGCAGATATACATATTAATATGTTATTTATATATTATTGATTTATTAAATAAGCGAATCTGACTAAAAATTCCGTAAAGTTAATAAAAATATTATTAGTCGCTACGTTGCAAAAAAATTTTTAACTACAGGATACTTGGAACAGAACGCTAACGTCAATACCTTGCCTAATTCTAAGTTTGTTCGCCGAATACTTACAATTGAAATCTAGAAACATACACGTCTAAAATTGTAGAACAGCCAGCCAAACAATAATGGTGAAAGATATAAAGCTAAAGCGTTTGTACTTGAACATTTAGTTAACGTATATTTTTTCTAGTAAACAAATGAACAATAGTTTTGGCGAAAACAAGTGACACGATTTATATAAAAAAGTAAATACTCGTCACCCAGCCGTTTGTTTATTCGAGTTGGTCATAACAAACGCCCAATTTCGGGTGACTATTTACTGTATATGGATAACTAAATTTCTAAAGTTGATTGTTGCTTTGGATCATACCGATTGTTGCCCGTTTATTAAAATAGACTTTCAAATAAATTCAACCCCTGCCTGTAAAAAAGCCACATCGATTTTTTTATAGTTATACCATATTTGAAGAGATCTTTGCTAGTCGAGAGTTATTATACCCGGCTTAATCCGTATATCTATGTTAGACTTTTCGAGCTCTAATCGACAACTGTCTTTGTTAAATAATTAAAAATTCTCGCTCCAAATACAAGTTTCATTCATCGGACATCCAAGGCAATCAGGTCCGATAATCTTATGCGAGAATAACATCCATTAGGTAGCGCCGCAATTTAAGCATAATGTAAATAACTGTCAAATATGCAGTTATAAAAAAACTCCTTATTTATCGATGAGCGTATAGGTGACATGTAGCTGTATGTTTGTATATGCAGAATTTACTGTCATTGACTTTTACAATGTAAATTTTGTAATTTATATGAATAAACTTGACATTTTCGGGCGATAAATTTTACGACATTAAACTCACGTCCACAAAACATACTAATATAGCTGACGACAACTATAATGGTGTATGAAAACATTAAAAGTTTACGTTATTGCAGACAATGAGAATTATTTTATGTCGGCTGCTAATATTCCATAGATGAATTTTTTCAAGATTTCCTTTGTCATTTCTGAATCATCAATATCACTTTTTTGTCGTCAAAGTCCTTTTAGTTCATGCTTTCATTCTGTCAATCTTAATCGAAATGCTTTACAAAATATTTTGTAACGGCGGCACAGCTCTAAAAAAGCCAGTTCGGTCGGTTAACATTATTTTATGCTGACGTTTTCAAGCCTCTTCGGCTGTGGTTGTTGGTTGAGGGAAGAAGTTAACCATAAATAGATTTTCATTTCCAAAATCAGCAAGCGTATGGAAACTACTGATATTACATCATCACAAACATCTTTTTATGGTAAAACCTTATTATCCACAGCCAATCGCAGTGCTTTTAATCAGTAAGCTATATTGGACAATAAGACCGGAAATGAAATTACGGTCAAAACATGGAAAGCTCTCATCTATTCCGGTAAAGTCTCTTTTCCTCTTGCACATCACGACCGACCAAGAATTCCGAACTGAATAACATGTTGACAATCGGCTCACGCTCTACAAAGCACATAAAACTTGTTTGGTTCTTTCTTCTAATCTTACTTTTTAGACAAATACGAGCTACAGATGATAATGCTTGGTAGTTGGTATTCATTCGAATTAGTTGAGTAATCTTTCAAGATGTTAGCTGCGTTCCAGTTTCCATCATACATCAAATTGCCGTCATGTTACACGACATGAAGAAGGCATGCAAGGAATATGAAAGATAGTGACAATAAATTTACTATATTAATTGCACGCTTTGATTTTTGTTTATAAAGAAGACCCTCTTACGCCCTCTTAGTAGTAACTACTTTCACATCATCCATCGATCGATGAAATTGAGAATTTAGAAATAGAATATTAAATAAAAATTACTTTCGCTTTAAACTATAAACAAACAGCCGACAGCACATTTAGTGATACACAATAGACAATTACCATTATCAATCGAGTCCGTATTGCGGAATCACAACCAGTAATATTACTAAACGTTGTTGTGAAGTCAAGTAATGAATTCAGATGAAATAATATCACCGCAGTCGAACCTCACCTCATCCGACAACCTACCAAATTGCCAGTAAGTGGTATATTTATAAAATCTGGGGGCGGACCGCAATAATTATTGAATGACGTATTATAAGAATGTGTATTATATTCAATAAATGTTAATTACAATAGCTAACTATCTAAAAATAAATACAGATGGCTGATCAATTTAACAAATTGTAAAGACATCAAATATTTCCGAATAATATACGAAATATCTGCATATTTAGCATTGTTTATTTTTTTATGCTCGATATGGTTGTTGGCCTGGAAGCTATTTTGCAATTCCAAACCTAAATTTTTCACACCGGGCGGATTTTTAGCGGTAGAAGGATTTCTGTTTACCCAAATACTATGGAGTGGATGTAAGTGTAAATTGAAAGTATCTGAGTATTATTATGTTTTGCTTGAACTACAAACGCTTATAATCGTTTTCATTTAAATTCAATCACGTTACAGCCCGGATAGCCATCTCGATAATTTTACTTTACGACTTGTTCCAGTCACAATGGTTTATTCGCTCATTAGTAGACAATATCTCTTGGTATTTCGGCGCCATATCAGTAGCAACATACCTTGCCTGTGTACTAAGGACAATTCCTCGACTACACTTTTACCGCCAAAATCCCGTTTATCAACACACACTTCACCTCCCCAAACTCCGCGCAATCACAACCGGATACCTCTTCTTTACCTGTGGATTTCTGTGTTTCGTACTTGTCACGTCTATATTAATCGGACATATACTCATGGAAAGACAAAATCTAAAGTCAAAGCCTGGCAAAAAATCAGATTCACATTTAGATGAATATATCGATATATTATACGGATTACACTATGGAGCATTCGGCATTTTTTGTTTCGTGTGTATTTTTGGATTCACGGTATACGGGAAAAAGTTAACAGAGATTGTGAGTGAGGGAAGTCAAATGTTGAAAGCTACTACGGTTTATTCGAGTGAGAACGGTTACAGAAAAGGAAATGGATCAACTTGGAGATTTAGCGAATTTGGATCACGTGGAAAGGAGTTGGAAGTAAAGCACCGTGGACTAAAGAGAAGTGTGATGAAGGTTAGTTAACAACTGGAGAAAGAACAACCAGATACTTGTCTGTAAAATAAAAAATTTTAATTTTGTTTTGCTAATTTATTTACCTCCTTTATTTTCCGTTAGATAAAACTCATACACCATATATTTACCATTATATTTTTTTTAATGGGCGTACAACTCATAAGCTTTGCGTGCTTTCACGACCGCATCATGTCAAATCTTTTTCTTAGCATGTCTTATGCTATTAACGCACTTCTTGCGCTACTTGTTCTCGACGCAATTATACTAATTACAATAGCCAGTAGTTGCGTAAATGCGTTCGTAAAGACGAGAGCAAAGACGGATAACGATAATTCTGTAGATTTACCAACATCGGCACAGATATCAATTCCACTGTTAAAGCTTCCACCCGCTGCTGCTATTCCGCTTCAGAGAGCTCGAGAGTCTATTACTATGTCAATCATACAATTAGAGCGTGGTGATACCGGTGGAAATAGAATGTATGTCTAATAGTTGAAGAATTTGTCTGTTTTGGAAATCGTAGAATTAAAACCGTTAAATTTAGACTCAAATACTTATAACGACAAATTTTCTGAAACAAACAATTCACCCATTTTGTATATTATTGACAATGTATTATATAGTAATTAAACAACGAGATATTATTGTTACATGTAAACTAGTTGTTTGCAGTTACTTTAACTCGTTGCGTATTTAGAGATTGATCAAACCATTCGTTTTGATTGTCTGTAATTTAATTAAATGACAACTATAAATTTGCGAAAGTTACAATATTCGGAACCTTGTCCCTGAAGGTGGTACACACCAAGCTCCGTAGATTTTGAGTCAGCAAAGTAATGGTTAAAGTATGGTATTTTATTTATGGTGCAATATTTAATATAAAAAGTATTCAACTTTATGAACATTGTCATACTAGTTATTAATAGTCGGCATATCATACTGCTTTTTGAACATGCTTTTTTACACCTTTTCCATATCCATAGCAAACACCAAGATTATATTGTGCCCTAGCATATCCCTGTTCAGCTGCTTTCTGATATAGCTTAACAGCTTTTTGAACATTTATTTCCACCCCTGTTCCATTCTTATAGTCAGATGCCAAAATTATTCTGTGCCCCAGCATATCCCTGATCAGATGCCTTCTGATACAGCTCAACTGCCTTTTGAGTGCGATCGATTTTGGACATTGCCTCAACATTTAGATTCGATAGTGATAAGCGCACATTTTGCTGCTTGCTGACAATGCAACATCGCATAAACCTGAAGAAGTAATTAATAATCTAACTAATATTAAATTTCACTTCTTACCTCCAAATACAACCTCAGCTTTACAACCACTCGATCAAGGCATTATATACAGCTTAAAAGTAAACGATTTCTCATTCTTAATTCTATTTAATTTGTTTTTTTTTTTTATTTAACGCACGTTCTTAATCTCTTCGTAATAGGCGTGTTACAGATTACTACTATGTGAGAATCGAATTGAAGAACATGATGCATTACGTACTCGTATGGAATTTCACCACAGAAACATCTATATCGTCTCAACATTACCTCCGTTGACAATTCTTCTGGGGCTTGGAATCGGGCAAAACAAAGAGTAATACAATCGTCACGACAGAAGAGTGGAAGTTTGCCACTGATGCTGCAGCCGATGACCACTGAAGCCTCGAATCTGAAGCAATTAATTTAGTAGCGCGACTATCATCAGAAGGACCCATGAATACATTCCGTAAATATATTGATTTGGAGGAAGGCATTTATAATGTCACTAATTATAATAAAGAACAAGACTTACGCGTTATAAGAAAAATTGTAGCCACTATTTAAGGACATCAGAAGAAGAAGAGGAGGAGGAGAAGGAGGAAGTGAGAAAGGTGTCATCAGCAAAAACTATTAATAGTATTGACAGTCTTCTGTTGTATTTACAACAAGAGGGATTAACATAGAATTGCAAACTTTAACAAGTTACGTAAAAGTATTCTTGGAAATATTATGCAGAGAAGAAGACAAACAGTCATTCATGATTACATTTAATCATTTGACAATCTTTATTGGATATTCGTATTGACTAAAATCACGCGAAATATTACTTTCAGAATAATGAATCTTTCAGATTACCGAAGAAATTTTGCGAAATGGACGACTTCGTTAAAGTGAATTTCATTGTGTATATCTGTATTTGAATAACCACTGAAGCCATCAAAGCATGATAATGAAAGGATAAATATGTTGATAAACACGAGCATTATGGCTCATATATAGCAAAAATGTTTGCAATATTAATATTATAGTGCTTGCAACTATCACGAAGATAAACGTTTTTTGATGAGCTTATTTACTTTGTGTAATGCTTTATTATTATTGCGTTTTTGACTTTACATGAAATAGAGTTTAATTTAATAAAACTTTGCATCTAAGGACTGAATAATATATGGACCATAATCTGAGGTCAGAAAAGTTAATAATACTAGATATTTATAAATAATTTACTCTTCACAACATATTGTACTCTTGTCTTTATTCCTGAAATTCAATTGACATCTCATAACTATTTCTTGGTTTAGGTAATTCTCCTGTAGGTAAGAGTTTGCTAGAATATTTATTCTCCTTTTCGAGACGTGATAATGGCTTTACATCCGTATGATAGATAGCATTCCACACGTTGTCACCAAATTCATACTTATTATTATACGCATCTTTCATAATATTGCGAATATCATTCGAAAGTGCCAATCCATTCTTTGGACGCTTATCAGGATTAGCATCACAACACCGCTCGGCAAGTTTCTTGTATTCCTCTGGCGCAGAATCAGGCATCGACGGTCGCAGTCCCTCACAAACACGCATCGCCAAACATTTGTCAAACAACCAATCTCTAAATGGTGGTTCACCAGTAGCAATCAAATGCATAATGATACCAAATGAATACATATCTGATTTCTGAGTAAATTCGCAGGTATGGAAGACTTCCGGTGCAATAAAAGGCAAAACGCCTCGAATAGTTGAACTTGACTCGCGTGAATTTACCGATCGTGAAAGACCAAGATCGCATATGTATGATTGTATCTTGCTATCAAGCGTATTGTATTTATGCATAACAATGTTTCCGCCGTGAAGATCACAGTGCACTAATCCCGCATCATGAATATTATGCAGATAATATGCAATGTCTTTCAAATGCTCTAACTTATCCAACCACGTCAATTTGTTAATATTTTGATCCAAATAAGACAAAAGACTGCCTTTGTTAGCATATTCCATAACAATCATGTACTCTTGTGTTTCTGGGTCTTGTGTCACTCCATAAAGGGTAAGGAATAAATATTTACTTGAGGACTTGGCATGATTTTTGAACTATTAAATAAAAAAATACAACGGTCAAATTAAATATCACTTTAATCAATACTATTAAGTTATTGCTTACCTCTGAAACAAATAATTCCGAAGTCTGATCAAAATTTTTATATCGTTTTAACACAAAAGTTTGTGGCATATAAGAATACTTTTGATACTTGGCAGTATAAACTGTTCCGTAACCACCAACTCCGATCTCTTTGAGTTCATAAAAGTCGCTATACTGTATGTATTGAAGAAATTTGTGGTTTCGTATAAAACTGTCCAGTATTGCATACACGTCATAATAGAAAACTAAATAAAATTCCCGAGTAGATAGCTCCTGGGTGATTCCAATTATCCAGATATTCTCACGCGTTAATATCGTCGGGTATTCCTCAGATAACTATTTGAGTAAACAGAATACGACGTTATAACACTGGTCAATCAAACTTACGATACGCACTTATCGATTACATCGTTTACACGTAAAATAATTTACCTGATGAAAATCCGATAATTGTTCATCAACTATTTTTTTGAGTGTTACACGGGTCAA